CAAGATAAGTCATGTAAAGTTCAAGATCCCAATGATGAATGTAACTGTATTGTAGACCTAAAATGTACCAATAAACTTAACGGAAAAAAAAACAACAATTTGTGTCTAGAAGTGTTAATTCCTTCCTATGAGCAAAACCTCCACAGTCTTGATTTTCTTTTTTTTTCTTCTCCAACCTCCCTTTTCCTTTTTCTTCTTTCCCTGTTGTCCTACTTCCTTGGCCTCCTTCTATTTCCTTAGTGTGCTCCTGTCTGTGACCGCTTCTCGGTTTTTTCTTGTCCTTCATGACCTTCAGACTTTTGAATAATACTTGCCAGATATTTTGTAGAATGCCTGTCAATTTGAGTTTGTCTGATCTTTTCTAATGAAAATATTGAGGATACAAAATTGGGGGGAAGGATATCACAGTGGTGACATGTTCTTCTCGTCACATTATTTAAGAGCACACCATATGTACATGACTTGTTACTAGTTATTTTTAACCTTGGTCATGGTTAAAGTGACATCTCTCATGCCTTTCTCTTTTTTTTGGTACTGGGGATCGAACTCGGGACCTTGCTCTTGTCAGGCAGGTGTGGCACCACCGAGCTAAATCCCTCGCCCTCTCTCATTCTTTTCTAGTGTAAAATTTTCTTTCTTTCTTTATATACTGTTAGATTTGTGTACTGTTTTTGTTTGTTTATTCTGAGGCAGGGTCCCGCTAGGCAGTTCAGGCCGTCCTTAACTTGCTATGTAGCCCAGGCTGGCCTCAAACTCACAGTGATCTTCCTCAGCCTTCTAAATCCTGGGATTTCAAGTGTGTGCCACCACACCCAGCCTGAGTCACTGCTTTTGACTCAAGAGTTTAAGCACTATTTAGTTTACAAATTTATGGGACTCTTGGAAATTATCCTTTTAAAGAAATTTTGAATTGTGATGTATAATGATAAAGTACATAATTTGTATGCTACTATTATTTTGGAATCTTGAAGTTTCTTTGTGACTTAATTCATGACCTATTTCTGTGAATATTTCAAGTGTGCATGAAAAGAATCTTGTTTTTCTCCATAGCTTAAATTCCACATCTATGAAACAGGAAGAACCAAAGATATCCAACTCATTTGATTTATTTTTTTGAAGGCTGCAAAAACCAAAGATCAAATTGAAAGAGAGAAAAATACTACGCTTATTCTTTTTGACTCTTGCTTTTGCCAACTGACAATGGATATAACTGATACAAGGAAACAAAATGAGACAGAGAAAAAAAGCGGAAATATCTGTCCTTTCTGTAAATGGACTGTGTTACCACAGGGTGACAGGTGTTTAATCCTCTGTGGGGGCACAGTTCCAGCCCACAGAGAGGGACTTGACCAGAGCTGAGAGAGAGTAACCACCTGAGGTAGTGATTTTGATCTGTGTTTGGTTCCTTGAAGTTCCTTCCACTGGCCTTGAGTATTTATAGAAATAAAGCTAAACCTTTCTTTGGTGTGCTACTGAGAAGTCTGTAGGGTGGTGGTCCCCCAACAGTTGACTATCAGCCAGAGGGTCTGACTGTTTAGAAGCTGGCAAGGACACTCATCTACATTTGCTGCAAGAAGAGGAATATCATGGTTAAGGACTTCACCTTAAGTTAGATCCTTAATGGCCAGCCCCTCAGGTTGCATATCATAAGAATGCCCTGTCCCTCACCTATGGCCCTAAGTTTTCTTATGCTGTCTCCTGCCCTCTTTCCTTCCCTTCTGTGAATAGCCCTAGGCTTTCCTACTGGCTCCTCACCTTCTCCTGGACACAGCCATCAATGTTTGCCTTCTAGTTCCAAGGAGATCTTAAGTTTTTCCAGACACCATGAGTCACCAAGAAGTGATTTATACTGTGTATGGGGACTTATTGTGCTATTTGTTTCAACCTTTTTTTATGTTTGAAACTTGTCAAAGTGTATAGTTAGAAAGTTTACGTTTGTTTTTCTCCTCCAAAAAATTAATAATGCTCAGCAATCATACAAGAAGTGTATATTTTATCTAGATGAAGACAGAGAATGTTCCCAGCACATCCTTTTCACATAGATAAAAGAACAGCTATTCTAGAGCCAAAGTGGATGAAGAAGAGCAGGTTTGTGGAACTCCGGAATATCAAGAGTTGGAGCAGATAACAGAATGATTTGTCAATAATACCTTGGCTGTCATTAGAATAACAGGGTTTTAGCTATATAGGGCTGTGTAATGTACTAGAAAGAGCATGAAATCAGAGGCATGTGGTTAGATAACAATACTTGCAGAATATGTAAAAATATTGCCACTACTCTAATTTAAAGGGGTATGCTGGATACTAGCAGTATAAATGGATACAATTATCAGAAGGTTTCAGGCTGGAGGTTTAGAACTTCTTTCCACTGATTTGCATACAGATATTTTCATCTTCTACCAGAGGTGTTTGTCGTGAAAATATTTGGAAATGATCTTTGAGGTTTCTTATTTGTTCTTGTTTATGTTACTGTCAACCAATTTTTAGCAGGCATATGACTTTCTATATATATCTTCCAATTAATTTTAAAATGAATTGGGTGATTTTTGTTTGTTTGTTTGTTTTGTTTTTGTTTTTGGTACCGGGGATCGAACTCAGGTCCTTGCGCTTGCGCAGCAGGCGGCGAAACCACTGAGCTAAATCCCCGGCCCCTGATTTGGGTGATTTTGTTGATCACCTCATTTTATAGAGGAATTTGAAGATGAACACTGAGCTTGACATTCTTGGAGCTCTCTATATTTGGGTGATGCATTTTGTCTTCCTTTCAAATAAAACTTGTAGTAGACACGGTAGACTAGCTCTCAGTATCAGTCCCTCCCCTGTGCGTGATTGGGCAGCACATATACTAAAATCAGTCCCTCCCCTTTTAGGTACAGCTTTCGATGTTTCAGAAGCTGGCATAGACACCCCCAGACATTCTTGCTGCTGATGTTCTGCGTGTGAAGTTGTTCTCACAGAATACTTGCAGCAGTGTAAGGTTTGCAGGTGCCGTCTCCATGCTGCTGGCAAATACAATCATGGACATGATTTTTCTGCAGCAGTGACCCAGTGTGCAGTTAATTGCTGTGCAGGTGTTGGGAGGAGTTGTGGAATGGCAGTTTCCAGACTCCACTGAGTTGTGACCAAGAGGCTGGTTCGGCTGTTTTCTAGGAAGTCTTCCTTCCGTGCTAAGCCTTTCTCCAGCCTTTCCACTGATACCGAGTATCTTCATTTTCCCATGCCAAATCCTTATGTTTAGAGCAACTAGCAGATTGCTGCAACAAATCCTGACTGACTTGTAAGTTCTTGCTGACAAAAACCCTGTTGATGTAAAGAAATGACTTTGCATTTTAGTGGTAGGAAATGGATGATAAGCAAATGAGTAAGTTAAAGTTTTAGTAAGATAGTGCTAGGTAAAAATAAAAGGGATGGGGATGCAGAAGAAAGCGAGAATGTTGCCACTTTAAATACAGTAGTGAAGGATAGTTCCACTTCTAGAGTAATTTTTGACCTGCTTATCTATATATCAATTGTATGTAAGACCTCAGTGGAGTTATTGTGTTAAAATGCAGCAATCCATTTGCCCTGCTCCTTCCACCTCCAAGCAATTGTATTGTTTACCCACAACAAACATGGCGGAAGAAAAGCTTCAATCTGACCTTTGGACCCTCAATAAAGATGGCTACAGCACTTCCTGTGCTTGCCCTCAACAAAGATGGCGACCATACTTCCTGTTTAGGGCTTTCGCCTTCAGCAAAGATGGTGCTTATGGTTCAGATTCCCTCACAGTCTGGATTCCGGTTGTAGTTTTTTTTTTTTTTAAGATACGTGGTTTCAGACGTAAGTAACAGGAATCCATCTTTTCTCGAAAGCCCCGTGCTGTGGCTTTCTCGCGCCCCTAATTTGCTGGAGTTTCTGAGTCGGGGCAGGGTTGGGGTGGCGGTGCTCGGGGCCCTTCTCCCCTCGGTCAGCTATGAAGCTCATTCTGCAGATCAAGTTGCCCCGAAAATTTCTCGTACTTCTTCCTCTTTGTGGCACATCAGAGGTCGCAGTTGCCGAGGCAGGGAATTTTTTAAAAGTTTCAAATGGGTGCTGGTATCCAAATATCCCCCTCATCTGCACCTCCAGACTTCACAGAGGGCTGTGAGGAAGGATGAGGGGTCAGGTGTCACCTGACCTGTGGGTGTCGCAGCCTCATCTGTCACCTTTCCTTCCCGCCCTGCCACTTAACCTTGGTTAACACCATACAACGCCCCACAGCCCACTAGAGACCTTCACATCTTGCATGGCTACTGACCAGGGCTGTGGTGTGGTTTTTTTTTTTTTTTTTTTTAAGGAAAAAACCCCTCATTAAATGTCTCATGTATGCGTGACCACAACAGCCTTGTGATGGAGATCCTGAATTCTTAAGAGAAAAGGAATGATTTGTGACTGTATATAAGATTTGTTGGACATTGAACACAACAAATATTTTTCCTGAAAGTGATGAAGAGGCCTTTTCCCACAGTAGAAAATATTATTAGATATACATTGATACCTCTGCTTTTCTACACTAATACTCCTGTTATGGTCAGGTTCTGCAGACATCTGTGGCCATAATAGTAGTTTGTGCAGCCATGGTGTAGGATGTCTCTGATGAAGGTAATGTTAAAATGAAATCATCATTTCTCCTCCATCAGGCTAAAATGAAATATTGCTCTGTAATCCTCAGATAAAGATTGCTTTTTAAAGCAAAGTCTCTGACCACCTTTTTAGTCAAATATTTGTTGAGCAAGGAAGTTAGCTAGAACCTGATGGTATGAAAAGAAGAAACAGAAACACCGATTCATCTTCATTTTGTTGAGAAGCATTTGAAAGTCACTTGGCTTGGCTTAACCGTCATGTAGTAAACACCCAGGGCCTGGCACTCTGCTAAGGTTCAAAGATCTGCCTGACCTTGAGGTGCTCATAGGGCAGTAGCCCTATCTTCAGGGGCACAGCAGTATTCCTGTAATCTGAGATGTAATTTTGTCTCTTTCCAGGGAGAAATGGAGGCCAGAGACAAACGAGTGCTCCGTTCCCTACGCCTGGAGCTAGGTGCAGAAGTGTTGGTGGAGGGATTGGTTCTTCAGTATCTTTACCAGGAAGGAATCTTAACAGAAAACCATGTTCAGGAAATCAAAGCTCAAACCACGGGCCTCCGGAAAACAATGTTGCTGCTGGATATCCTGCCTTCCAGGGGTCCTAAAGCATTCGATACCTTTCTAGATTCTCTACAAGAATTTCCCTGGGTAAGGGAGAGGCTGGAGAAGGCAAGGGAAGAAGCCATCACTGAGCTGCCTAAAGGTAGGCCTCAGAAAGAGCAAATAGCTTTAACATTGTTGGAACTGTGGCCTTTGGATTGAAAGTTGAGGTTTTAGGGTGAGCAAGTGCCAGCAGTTCATGGAAGTGGGTAATGAGCGCAGACAGAAGGCACGTGTGGTTGGAGGGACAGGATGAGGAGGTGGTATTAGGAAATGCAGGGAAGGCAGGAAGAATAAACCATGACTGAGAGGTTGAGGAGGGAGTTTGGAGTACATTTAGAAATGCTTCCAGGGAAACTTGGCAATTCATTTCAGAGGCATGTTCTCAGCAGAGAGCCAGGTCATATCTCAGCCCTTGGCACGAGGGGCCATTTGGAAAGTGTAGATGGGAAAGCAGGCTTGGCTTACTGATAACTGATTTGTGGGGTGCCAGAGCTGCCAGCTGGAAAAGGTCGGATTCATGGAGGAGGAGACAGTCTCTAGGAAGACGTGCCCTGCACCTGTCCCTGGCGTGGCCTAGCCTACACGGCCAGTGGGGATTATTTTGAAGACTGACTTAGTTTGTTTTGAAAGGCTATTGGTTTAGAGTGTTTTTTTTAGTTTGGCTTTGTTCAGACACCTGGAATATTTAACTTTGTAAGAGCAATAGTTTGGGAAGATTCTCATTTTGATTTTAAGGAGAGTTGGAAGCTGTATGGAAAAGAGAGACAGTTCTGGTCTGGTCCTGTTTGCTTGGCTTGTGTCAGGAAGATGTGGTATGAAACACTTGTCCTCTTCTAACACTCATTGTGACTTCTGCTCTTTTGAAAATATTGAAGTTCAGAGCACCGAACTAGCAAAAAATGTAAAAAGGTGATAACTGAAAGTTGACTTGCAAATTTTTAACATAAAGCTAAGAAATGTATCTAAAGAAATTAAAATGGGATCACACTTTTATGAACGATGTACAACAGTACTATTTCCATCATCCAGTATGATCATATAATTAAGGTGTGTGTGTATGGGGAGGCCACTGAACCCAGGGCCTTTGCACTGAGCTACATCCCAAGTTCTTTTTATTTATTTTGAGACAAAGTCTTACCAGGTTGCTAATTTGCCCATGCTGAATTTGAACTTGGATCCTCCTAACTTCAGAGTACTGGGATCCCAGGCATGTGGTACCATGCCCAGTTAAATTGTTTTGATAGTGACAGGCTTTTAGCTTGGCTGTTTTGTGTCCTCAACCATGTGTTGTTGCCAGGAGAATCTCAAAGTCAAATACTAAGAAAACACCAATAATTTTTAACCTCTCTCCAGTTCTGTGTTTTATATTCTGCTTTTAATAATGTGCTAGAAATGTCTTACATATATTAGCAAGGTTTTGTTCAGACATGTGGAGTGTTTAATTATATAAGGACAATCCAAACAGTAGCAGAATTTCTTAGCAGAGTTAAGAAATCAGCATTCTGTGGAGTTTCTGATGAACTGATAGTCAGAACTACTTTATTTCATTCACCTTTAGGCTTTCTTATATCTTTTTTTGAATAGCTGATTAAAAGACAAAACAAAACACGCCCCCCCCAAGAAAACCACCAAAAACTAAAACAAAACCAAATGCTCCTAATAAGAGATGACTGCTGTTAGTTTTGTCTCATAGACTTCATATTTTGAATGATTTTTCAAACCACGTATATTAAGCAATTATAATTAATTCTTTTTCCATTAAATCTCAATATCTGATCAGCATGAGATAACCAATTCACTCAGAAAGACCTGGTAAAGTCCTAGTGGAAAAAGCAAAAATATTTTTATTCCTAGCTTGGCCAAATTACATATAAATGTATGGTTCAGGTTTTCTGAAATAGTGAAAAAGTCTGACCTTTCAGGAACACTAGAATTCTTAGCTTGGATTGCCATTATGAAATTCCATACTCTCCATGCCTGAAGAAAGCCAAGCTAAATTATTTAAGAAGCTGGTATACTTTATTGAAAGCAGAATTGGGGAGAGGTCAAAAATTTATTGGTACTTTCCTGGTATTTAACTTAGTTGTTCCTGCTGCCAGCACATAGCTGTGAACAACAAAACGGTAAAACTAAAAGCCTGACACTGTCACTATACTTTATTTAATTATATGATCATTTTGGGTAATGTATAATAATACCATTGTGTATCACTTGTAGAAATGTGACCTCATGTTCAAATTCATTTAGAAAGTGCAAAGAAACTAAAACTTTTTGCCAAATGGCAAAAGTTACAGAGAAGCCAAGGGGAAAAAAAGTTTAAACTTTTTATTAATATATGTTTGCAGTACATAATAAATATATTCATTGTGGGGTATCAGTGCTTATATTTATTATGTATCAAATAGAATAAAACAAGTAGAATAAATAAAAACAAATAAAAAATAAAAAAACAAATGGAATGAAGTTGTATATAGTGTGGAAAGTTAAGCATATCTATTTAGAAAAATAAGGTTTTCCCCAAGATTTGTTAATTTTGAAGAAAGGATCAGTGGAAAGATAAGTTTGCTTTGGAACAAATAAAGTACTTTTGTTTTACTTTTTATTAACTGCTATTGAAAAAAATATTTTGAAACAGATGTTTGATTTACATATGTTTTTATATATCTTTCATGATGACAATTAAATGACTCATTTTAAATGTTGCTCTTATTAAATACTACTTTGAATAATCTTACAAAATATAAATAAGGTGTGGAGAATAAACAGCCAATGCCTGTGTCCTCACTGCTCAGGTTAAGAAACATACTATTTGCAAATCCTCTCATGCCCAGCCCTTACTTACTGATAAATTCTGAATCTGGCATTTATCATTCTTCTCTTCTTTACTTTGTAGTTTTCTTTCTCATAAAAACCACTTTTGAAATCCACATATATTAGGCTGGGGATGTAGCTCATTGTAAGGGGCTTGCCTACCACATACAAGGCTCTGGGTTCCATCCCCAGAATTGAAAAACAAAAATATGTAGGAGGTAAGGGATGAAAGAAATGATATATTTAAAGGACTTGATAATTAATGGCCTTGTCTTGTTTTAGACCTTGAACTATTTTTAAGTGTTGAAAGTAATTAATTTCGTGGCAATATTTTAATTCTAAAATTGGGATTTAATGAGTTGGAAACCTAGGTGATTTTTTGTTGCTGTTGAAATTCTGGACAAGTATCAGAGTTGAAATGCCTACCAATTTAATATCCCTGGAAGAAAGCAAACAAGCCTGGTGGCCTGTTTCTCAGGACTCCGGTACTTCTCTAGCATTGTAGTACTTTTAATAAACTTTGCAATAGTCTACTTACCATTTTTAAGAACATCTTGGAGTTTGGAGGGACAGGTGGGAGTGGTTTATATGCATGGATGTGTATATGTTAACCTCTTACCTCTTGCTTATTCTGGTTGTGATTATTATTTGTGTGAACCTGGTGGCTTTCTCTACGAAGCCTTGAGAACAACTGGGAGGAGCAGCCTTCCCTTTAGCTAAGAGTTCAGTCGTTCTCCAAGAAGGAACAGATTTTATTTTATTTAAGTTTTCTTCTTTTGTTCTTCTAGCAGATTCTTGGTTTTTCTCCTTTGTTTACTTGTTTAATTTTTGTACTTTATTTGTAAAATCTGAGCTGCCTCAGAGGTTTTATTTGGGTGATCCTAGTTAACTGCTTTTTATTTGTATGCTGATATAATATTTTAGAGAATTGAGCTCTATCTTACTCTCTACTCTTCTAAACCCTACCTCCAACAAATCCTAAGATATTAAAAAAAAAAAGAAAGGAACTAAACCCTTTGATTCTCTCAGAATCTGCCTCGGTCTCTCAATCTTGGTTTAAAGCAAAAAAGGTCTAAGATGTAAATGGATAATTGGTTTGTGTTTTCTCACCCTATAAGGACCATTTTGAAGAGGAATTCTGACGATAAAATGACTTAATCCCCCTTGGCACCGTGGAAGGAACACTTCACCTCGCGTCCCTTCCTGGCCAAGGTCACATACTAGACATTAGATCAGCTGGAAATCCGCCCGGCTCCTGTCGGGTCATTTCAGGAGATGAGCATGGGGCTGGATGTGGGTGAAGGCAGCCTGCTCTCCTGCCTGGCTTCCCCTCTCGCTGCCCCATCTGCTCTGCCAGCTCCCTCTGTGCCCAAGCCCATCTGCGCCTGGAAAGGGGCTTTATTGGCAGCCCTGGCCTCACTGTCTGGAGAGACTTTGCCTAAGCCATGGCGGGTCAGCTCCTGGGCCATTGAACTCCCTTTTCTACTGTGCATGATTCTTGGGTAACAGTGTGCTTAGTGACTGCCTTTTACCCTGGTCTCCCCTTAGCATGGGAGTTTGTTTTGGAGTTTTTCTCTTTTTTCTCAGCTAGATTCTTGCTTTCTGTATTCTTAGCCACTGGCAAGGGGAAAGACCATGGCTCAGCACCTCCCGTGTGGGCATCGGATGCCTTACCTCATGTGTCTGCTTCAGCCTTGCCTGACCTTCAGCGAGTCCTCCCCGTGGATCCTCTGCCCTGCACTACCTGGCTGTCCTTGCTGGCACAGGACACAGGGCTGGCTGGTGCAGGTTCCCTCTGCCCTAGGCTCTGGGGCGCAGGCTGTCCCCTGTGGGGCTGGCCTTGAGTGACAGGGCTGAGCCACGTCAGCCACCTCCAGAGATGCAGGCTGGCCCTGAGGTATCAGTAAACTCATGACAGACACACTAGACCTTGTAATAGGTTTATTTGAGGTATTTTTAGCTTGGGATTCTTCTCATAGAGGGTCTGCCAGTCCTGCATGTCACTGGGCTGGCTCTGCCATGAGAAGCTCAGTGTCGATCTCAGTTTCTGTGGCCCGTGGTCGATCCAGGCCTTTCTCTGTGGCTGAGCCCTGTTTGCCTTTGGCATCCTGGGTACTAAGAGAGAGCAAGGGGTTGCTATCTGCCAGAAGACCCCTCCCTCTGGTAGTGGTGGTGGAGTATGTAGGAGCCCAGATTCCTGTGGATCCCCTCCCTGATTATTGTGCACCTGTGGACCAAATGAATGCTAGGAACTGGGCTACCGAGGGCATTCCTTCATCCATCCCACAA